TTGATTTCATTGCTCTAATTTTGTTTGTGAAATAATCTGCAGAATGTCGAACATAATTCTTTTTGAGGATATCTGTGGTTGATCAACTCGACCCGAGTGTCAAAAAGTTTGATAAAGGTAAAATCTTTTGCAGCATTTTTTTTTTTTTTTAATAAAGTCAATTAGCTCACTTGGGTGTTGAATGTTACTTAGTTTCTTCTTCGCAGCATGCGGTTGCTGCATGGTCATATGTGATGTGTCACTTCCTAATTGAATTTTCAATCGTATGCAAAACTCCCTACTTTGTTTGATGGTTTTTTGATAGGCAAATAAGTTAGTGTGCTTAAATATTGCAGGTCCCTTGTCTTGACTCAATAATCAAGTTATCTGGGTTAATTGGTACCAACTTGGTTAAACTCTTAAATATGGAGCTGAAAAAGGATTAGAAGGACAGGGGAGGGAAATTGAAATTGAGACAGGATAGAGGAGTGTAAAGGGAAAAGAGGACCTTTGAACTAATGCTTGAACAATGAATAAATTTGTGCTTGAAAATCTGAAGTTTATTTGTTCATTCACAAGAAAGAAGAATGAAGATGGCCAAAAAATAAAAAAATAAAAAAAGAAGAAAGAAAACAAAAAGGAAAGAAGAATGAAGGGAGTGTTGGATCTGAGTTCTTTATGTGTTATCTTAATGGGTTTTAATATAGATTTTGATTTGATCTTTATGACGTGCTTGCAGTTACACGAATTGAAGCACGTAGCCAGAACTGCGAAATGTTTATGCACCTAGACGTGTATACAGAAATATATCCCATGCGTGTAGGTGAAAAATTTACAATGGCATTAGCTCACACATTGAATTGGGATGGAACACCAGATACTGGCTATTTCGCTCAGGTATTCTGCCTTGCATGTTTTTCACATTCTTTGTTATTATCTTTGTCGCCATAGAAATTATTCTACTTGAAAGAGATGTACTTTCATTTATATAACTGTACGTTCCTGCATTTTGCATCATTGTTATTAGGGCATTATCTTTTTCACTTTTTTTTTTTTATTGGTATAAGGTAGGACAAATGATTATCAATTAATTATAGAGAACAGAATGAAATAGAGAAAACTCAAAAGCGTCACTGCATAGCCGAGAAATTCTTTCTATATTCCAGGGAGGGAGGAAGTCTTTTGCAGACAAGTATGAATATATCATGCATGGGAAGCTATACAAAATCTCAGATGAAAGCTCAGGAAAACTGCTTAAAGCGTATGTATTAATCTTCATGTTTGACAAGTTTGTCTTGGTATTGGTATTGGTATTGTTACTTTGTTTGAAAATATTTATTTATTATTTTAATTAACTTTTAATATATTTTTATTAATTTTAATTAATATTTTATATAATCTTTAAAAAAAAAAAAAACTTATAATTATTGTGTAACGCAATACATCATAACACTTTCAAACAAAAGTTTAATCTACTTAAGTCCAATGCCAATGGTAAACAAGTAAAGAATGGAAAAGCAAGTCTTGTGGGAGCTTCCTCAATTATGGAGGAGCTTCGTGACTTCTGATGTCAAACCTCCGGGCTTTGGTTGATTATGTAAATGTGTTGGTGTGGGGGAGATGACCGGAACAGAGTTTACGTGGAGGTTGATCAACGGCCTCACAAATGACATACCCGTGATTTCGGTCTGAGC